AGAGAGAGAGAGAGAGAGAGAGAGAGAGAGAGAGAGAGAGAGAGAGAGAGGGAGGAGTCATGAGAACCATGTAGCAGATCATATATAACTGTGTCTAATAAAATGCATATTTGGTGAAGAGTATGTCAATATATACATTTAATAGTGGATTCAAGGGAGATTTGACAAATTTGAACACATTTTCATGACTAAAATTCATATGAAAGTATTTAAAAGGGGCAAACTTTCTCAGTCTTATAAGAGAATATGTTTCACATTGCACTATACTTAAATCATCATCTTGAATGTAAAATATCAGACCTCATTGTTTCCTTAAGATTGGAAGTGACACAAGAATTACACTTATAACAAGTTCTGGTCAAAACTATTCTGGAAATCTTCATTACTTCAGTAAGATAATAAGGCCAAGCTCTGGCTTGGCCAATCAAATTTTGCAATGAAGAGGAAAAGAGGCTAGTGGCCAAGCCCAGAAGACTGAGTTCAAATGCATGGACTCAGGAGGAAGTCTAAGGTCTGTGCCTGGGCTCAGTGAGCGGAAGTGGACTGCTAGAGCCAGCGGGGCCCAGACCGTGGCCCCGACCTGAGCAGAGGATCATCACGGATCACAGGTGGCAGGTGGTAATGTAGGTGATTAGTCTGCCTGGAAGATTCCAGGTACATGAAAGGGAGGAGACCAGATGGAACTCAGTGGGAATCTTTTGAATTTGCAACCTGCTTAGCTGTAGTAATTGCGCATATACTCTTAAATACAAATCCATTAGTTAAAAAAGTTTCTCAAGTTCAAATTTTACTTGCTGTTATTAGTGTTGCTAATTGTTCTACTGTAACTAAGATACCATATCTGCCTTAACCACATGTACTCCCTTGGTTAATAATATCACTTTGGAACAACCTCACCACGGAAACTAATATTATACCCTCAATCATTAGTGAAGGCAAAATCTTGAGACATACACAAAACAAGAATCTTTGACACAGAAGAGATACCTAAATATCAGATTATTTAAAGAGAAGCTCTAATTGCAGTGAAATAGCTACCTACTATCAAAATTTTACGAAATAATGTCATAGCAGTCAAAATAAAGAGGACCCTCTGAAACATAAAACAGCAAAAGAAAGGAGCAAAAGGCAATTTCAGGCTCCCAGCCCATCCAGACAAATCCAAGAGACACTAGCATACAAGAAATTGGAGGTCATACATCTAAAATATCTGAAATAATAGCAACTGATGAAAAGAAACAACAGCAGAAGGGAATAGAGGAAATCAGATCAGAAGCAATCTCCCAGGTAAAAGAAATGATAGTTGCAATGAAAGAATTAATGAGTGATTCTAAGAAAGACATTGAGAAAAGCAATGAAGGAGAATAGAAAAATGATAGAAACCTTAAATGAGTAATATATGAAAGAATGAGAAGGTATGAAACAGATTCAGAGATATAAGGGAAATGAAAAACTACATTAAAAGTTGGGAAAAACATTTGAAGCAAAGTGAAAGTGACTTTCAGACCCTGAAGATATCATTTCAGCTAGCAACTGGGAAAGGAAAAATACCCTAAGAATAACAATGATCTAGGAAATAATAATTGAACAGCTGAAAGACAATACAAAGATGAACAACATAAGACTGATAAGCATCAATGAAAAAGAAGGAGCCAACACAAATGACATAAACAGAATGTGGGCAGAAGTAATAGCAGAAAGCTTCCTAAATATGGTGAAATAATCTAACATTCAGTTAATAGGCATATAGCTCCACAGGAGGTTTTTTTTTTTTTTTTTTTTTTTTTGGAACCGGGGATTGAACTCAGGTCATTGTGCTTGCCAGGGAAGTGCTTATTCCCCTGAGCCATCTCCCCAGCCCCTCAACTGAGGCATACAGAACTCCAAATACTTCTCAGTCAAAATAAAGCTACACCCAGACATATAGACTTAGTGTATATTTACAGAGTGTTCTACCCAACAACACCTGAATACACATTCTTTTCAGCTGTATTTAGGATGTTCTCTTAAAAAGACTACATACTAGTCCATAGATCATGCTTAATTCCATACATCAAAACAAAAGTTATCCCATGAATATTATCTGACCACAGTGCAATGAAACTAGAAATTAATGACAAAAGAAACAAGCAAACAAAAAAAAAAACCACATGGAAATTCAATAACAACCAATGGGTTACAGATGAAATTATATAAGAAATTAAAATTTACAAACCAATGGACATTCAAACATAATTTATTGGAATTTGTGAGATGCAAAGAAACCAGTTCTCAGAGGGAAATACATAGTGGTAAACTCAAAGATTAGGAAAACAAGAACAAACCAATACCCTAATGCCGAACCTCAAGCTTCTAGAAAAAAAAGAGCAAACCAAGCCTAAAGTCCAAAGACGGACATAAATTATAAAAATTAGAGCAGAAATTAATGCAATTGAGACTAAGAAAACAATGCAAAAGAGTAACGAGTCACAGCTGGTTTGTTGAAAGATTAAATAAAATTGATAAAACCCTATCCAACCTCATCAAAAAGAACAAAGAAATAAGTCAAGTTCAACCAATAAGGACTGGAAAGGCT